GGGGAGGGGTCAGGGCACTCTGCAAAGCAAGGCATTTTTTGACCTTTTTAAATGTTTGAATGAACACGACGTCACATGCGGTCAAAATGTAGCTCATTTCTCCGGCTAGCGGGAAAAGGAAATATGAATGTTTCAGCCAATGAAATGGCGATATTTTGCAATCAGTCAGGCACTTCAATTATGGTGTACCACAAATGGAAGGTGTAGAGAATGTCCTGCGGGGCACTCCCTTATCGGGATGTTGGGAGAACACTCGACAAGCTTCTAAACCACTCGCCGAACGGCTCGTGATTTACAAGCTAGTGAGTGGTGTAGCAGTGTGTGGTTGTTAACAAAATGACGGCCGCTTCTTTGTGTTTTCGAAGTGTTTGTGAAGAGGATTCGAGGGACTAGTAGATTTATTCCAAAACAATTAGATTATTCACTCTCGATTTCTATACTTGATAGTTGACAAGGGCGCAACTTTGATCACGCGAAAGAAAATCGAGAGCGGATAACCTAATTGTTAAATGAAAACATTCGCGAAAGACTAGAAGAGTTCGCAAAAGTTGTGGCAACACCGGTCCGCTGTTTCCATAGCCGCTCGTTGTTGTCAAAATCTAGCTTGCATTCGTGTTTCTGTAGAGACGCAGAAAATGTTTTTTATTCTTTTATTCTTAAAAATTAGCTACGAAATTCCATAGTTATTGCAATTTTCAAGGAAAACTATATTTATTCATGACATCAGGTAACGATTACTACTTACAAAACATGTTACCAATCGATTACAAATAAACCACATATCGTAAATTTAATATCTAAGGCTTTGCATTGTACTTTGAATTTTTAACTGACAATAGAGATTCACTGAGACGAGAAACAAGAGTAAATAAAATCATTTACAGGTCATAATAACCCAGTAATATCTCAAAACAGATATTAAAATATGTATAGGTGTGTACAAGGAATGCAAATGTTTGATTTTCCCAAACAGGTAAAACTAATCAGAAACTGCGCCGTAATTAGGAAACAATTAGCTCAAACATTAAGCTTAAAGTGGAAAAAAAGTTAAAGTATGAAATTATTTGACGTGGTTAATTTTTGTTACTGGAGTATAAATCAAATTTACCGATATTTAAGTGCTAAGTTTGTGATATGTATCAGGATTCAGGCAAAAGTTAACGTCAATATATCGAAAAAGTTATGTTCCCTACAGCTTTTAGAATTTATGTATAACTTAATATTAAGACACGCTCAAGTTAGTAGGGTGGGGTTGAGATCTTATTCAGCAGGCTGGCCGCTAACCCCGGGCTGAGTTTCTTCAGACGCAAGGGGTATCTCATCTTTAGGGGCGGCATCCTCTGCCTCGGCGGCTTGCTGTCTTGTCAGAAGGTCTTTAAATTCCTGTTCTCGTTCCAACTCGTGTTCTCTCGCTGCGTCTTGTACTTCGCGAGTTCTAAACACCCAGTGATTGCATGGAGTCTCCGCTTTGTGAGAATCCACTTCAGTCTTGGCGGCAATTTCGAACTCTCTCCCAAATGGTGTTCTGAAAAGGTTAAACATGCAAAACAGTGTGAAATTGAGGCCCCGTCCACGCTACGCTAGAGAAATTTGAAAACGAAGCTTTATTTCCACGGTTAGGCCTACCGTCCACACTAATCCGTCACGAAAACAGAGCTTTCCGGAAACGCTCTTCAAACCGGAGAAATTTGAAAACGCCGGCTTTGAGTTTTAGTGTGGACGCAAATATTTTGAAAACGGAGCTTTTCGAAAACGATGAGGTCACGAAAATCACGTGATTTCCCTGCCAGAGGTTTCCTCAAAAAAAAAAAAAATCCAAAATGACCGGTGATTGTTGCGTTCTTAAATTCCTCCGGCGTAGTGTGGACGGAAAACGTTTGATGGTTTTCAGAGTGGAAACGACGTTTTCAAATTTCTCCAGCGTAGTGCGGAGAGGGCATTACACACCATTGTGTAGATGGAAGTTGTCTGTATTGAGATGATTATAAATGTGAGGGGAGAATTTACTGTTATCACACAAACATACCTGAATGAAAACTGTGACAGGGCGGCTAAATTCTGATTGGTCTTCACGTGATTTAGTATAATTTTCGTGTTTGCCTGTCAAATGAAGAGAAGTTTTAAATATTTTATAGAATAGACAAAACTATATTACTACGATGATGGTACCAGCTATCAGCCTACAGAGCTGGAGATGTGTTGGCAAGAAGTTGCGGGGAATGCGTTGCAATCACGAAGCGCAAGGCATTCACGTTCTGCGTGTTTTCGCGCGTAGATTACTCCAGGAAAACTCGTGTTGCATGCTTGTTCGTTTCTGTAAGAATGCGAGACCCAGACTTTCACGAAGTGACGAGATACTGCGCCTCTCATCTGTTCATACCTTGATCGTTCAATCGTTTCAGGAAACGAATAGGACATCATAAGAAACATGTACGTTTCTGGGGCATCTGCCATCTTTTTGAACTCAAGACAAATGATCAAAAATTACGTCAAATATCAAAATGGCTAAGAGGCACGCTATAGTGGACTCTGAGCAGTCTCCCGTTGTACTATCTTGTGAGGGACAAGAAAGAAGAGGTGGGGAGAGAATGGCGGGGGTGGGGGGGGGGGGGGGGGGGGGGC